CGTATGAAAGAGGAGCAGGCCAGCAATATATGTCCTGGATCCGATGTCAGGTCTGCTTTCGAGCAGTTATGGGTTACAAGTTACAACCACTTACTACCGTAGCTCTCTCTTTCTTTCTTTATTTTTTCCATTTCCTCCGAGCAGTGGCCCTAAGGGCTTTGCTCCACTCGTCACCAGCACAAAAGGCGAAAAGGCAAAACATATGGCGGCGTATGGTTCCATGTTCTAGCAGAAAATTCATTCCTCTCTTTCTTTTGTTTCCTTTTCCTACGACCAGAGGCCCTAAGGGCCTTGCTTCACTCGTCACCACTTGCACGAAAGACTAAACATATGGCGGCGTAGGGTTCCATGTTCTATCAGAAGATTCATTCTAGTTTTGCACATTTGTAGTGGAGGGAAGCCCTGAAAAGCACGTGGTGAGTTGGCCTGCTTCTGCCCAGAAACTCGCGTGCTCAGTGGTCCCATAACTGCTGAAACACGGACCTTAAAGTGAATCAACAGCCTATATACTTGGCGTGCCATGACTTCAGCATGGTCATGACACTTTTTTTTTTTTTTTTTTTTTTTTTTTTTTTTTTTKAACTGGACATGCTCCAATCTATTCGTGGGGAGCAACACGTGCTGGGAACCGGGCCCAGCGTCCCATTCAAAAACATATTGAAGAAATTTTACAGAAACCTTTAAGATACCAGGGCCATTCCCTGGCTTCGGCTAAAGATGAAAACTATGCAACCTACACACTGAAAGCCATCTATAAGCACTACAAGACTCAAAAGCATGGAACAGATCCTAGATCTCTGATGCCAATTAGGATATAACTCTTGTAGTAGCCTACCGCTGAGGTCCTGCGAATAGGTGAAACCTACTGAATCCACCTACAACCACCGCCAGTATGGCTAAAATCAGCACGAACCGGAGCTCTTCCGGTCCTCATGCCCCCATCAGGTTAGGTTACAGAGTTGCACCACCTTGCTCCAGCACCGGCCAGGATCGCTCCCATTACGACCGCCGATGACCACTGGGACTGCCCCCCAAACAGCCCCCCAGAGCTCTCTACCAGGCCTCGCGCCCCCACTAAGCTAGGTCACAGAGTTGGGCCACCTGGCTCCGGCTCCGGCCAGCGTTGCTCCAGCATCGATCCACGAGGGCCACCGACTTTTCAACCATCCCTTACAGGATCATAATTGATTTGCCAGATAACACCTATCCCACCACCTCCTCGAAAGGCAACCAAGTAGTAGTAAACTGCATGATAGGTTTCTTCGTGAGAGATCGCCCCTCCCACCCCCTACCCCTCCCCCCTCAGTCCTACACTCGGCGGAGAGTCACCCACTCTCCCTCGGCCCCAATATAGGACCGAAACCCCTCCCCCCTTTCCCCAGGAGCATACAGTTCCCGCCTAAAGCATGCCCCCCCATCCCCTGCCCATTTCCGCCTCCGCAGGGTCTAATGTTGACCCACACACACAGCCCCTTGCCCCGGAATAGGGCAACCCCCTACTCTGCCCCTACCCCCTTTGAGACATTCGCCCCCCGCCTTGCGATGCGTCTGCAGGATGGCTACTACCTCGTTCATGGCAACGTGGCCCTTGCTGATTGTGTGCAGGAGTCTCTCGGATAACCCGCCGCAGGGGGTTTGAAATAAATATTAAGGAGCCATTTGTTTACATTTTCTCCCCTCTCTCTCTCTCTCTCTCTCTCTCTCTCTCTCTCTCTCTCTCTCTCTCTCTCTCTTTTGTGTGTTCTCACACATAACAGCCGTTTTTTTTTATTTTTTTTTTATTATTATTATTTATTGGCGCATTGATGACCATCACACTTGCGCCACAGGTATGCTCCAACCCCAACCCCCCCATACCCCTCCCCCGTCCCAAAAAGTTTCTCAGCGGATTTTGACTCTACTCGGCAAGCGCAGTACAGCCGCGAACTCAGATTTGAAACAAAAATCAGTGGATGGTTGCTTTCTCACTGGTCGGCAGCCCGCCGACCGGTCGCCCCTACTGGCCGGCTGCAATACGGTCGGCGGTCAGGGTCGGCGGTCGGCAGGGGTGCAACCCTGGCGGAGGGTCAAAAATGAACCCACCTACAATCCAAAACTCCCCCTCTCCACAGACGGAACGTCGGTCCAGGATTTCAGTCCTCGTACCAGAACTCACTCGATCTCATACCCCCTTCTGCTAGGGTAACAGGGCACCACAACCTTCCCCTGTACTGACCATCCTAGTTCTCAAGGACAGGAAGTGCCTTCCTCCCTCGACATTTCCCTTAGCGGCAAGCCCCTGACACCAGGTTACAGGGTTGATACCCCGGCGCCGGCTACGTTGGACGGTCTGGTTATGCCTTCCACCCTCGGCATAACTCCACAGGCCTCATGCTCCCATCCTTGGTCACAGAGCAAAAACTCCAGCACCGGCCTGTGTCGTCCCAGCATCGTCCTTCTAACCTGCTTACATGAGATCCCTGTTAAAAAAGAAAAAAAAGAAAAGAAAAAAGAGATCCCCGTTACGACCTCCCATGTAAGCAGCAAAATTCAAATTTGGAACTAGATCTCAAGTATTCAAGATGGTGGGAAGGGATCTGGGTAAACGCATCCTCTCAGTTCTTTTTTTGAAAAAAAGAACGACAAATAAGACAATCTGTACCCCAAAGCGACAAATAAGACAATCTGTCCCCCAAAGCTCTGATCGAAGAAGCAATCTGAATGAAAAAAACGCCTGCCTTAGGGCCTTTCAGCAGCCCCACCCTACCTGCCTCACCGCTATATCCGGATGCCCAATCTCTACCAGGCCTCATGCCCGCAACTGCTAGGTTACAGAGTGGCACGACCCACCCCAGAAACCCCCCACCTGGTAGGCCACAGGGCAAAGTGACCCGCCCCAGCTCCGGCTCCGGCTCCGGCTCCGGCTCCGGTCAGCATCGACTAGGCACCAGCTCACCGAAGGACACCAGAGTGCCTTCCACCCTGATAACTCCCCAGATCTCTCTACCAGGTCTCATGCCCTCATACAACTCGAGTTACAGGGCAGCACGACCAAGCCCCAGCACCGACCAGCGTCGTTCTGGCCTCGTCGTTTCGCAATCCCCGGGACTCGCGACTAAGGCAAAAGAAGCAGTCAAGCCACCAATCAGCACCATAGCTGTAGATCTCATCGTTCATCTCCTTCATTCATGTACTGGTTGCAGATATCCCCCCAAAAATCCCCCTGAGCCCTACTCCGGCAAGTCTTACCACGATGAAGCCACCATCTCCACCGCTGCTGTGCCCTATTTCAACCCTACAGGCTAGCCCCTTCGCCGCAGAGCGAGTCATCTCCCGCCGTCACAGTCACCACCAACCCGCTGCCTCCAGCACCAAAACTTGGAATAATTTTTCAATTAGAAAAAAAAATAAAGGAAAAACAAGCTCAAAAACCCCGAAAAATCACATGAACATTTCAGCGCCCACTATTCCCACAGGGAGAGGGGAAGAGAGGGAAAAACCACCCTCTCTCCCCATGGGAACTCCAGCGCCTATTGAAGTCTCAGTCATGTAAAGGGGTCACAAGAGCTAAGGGATTACTCCTCTCCCCCAAAAGACAATCCTCCTAAGCCCAATTCAATCCTAATACCTAACCTATCCTATCCTATCCTAATCCCTATCCTCTCCCTCTCCTTCTCTTTCGCAGCCGTCCCTAAGACCGGTTGTAGGGCAGGTTATCTTGTCAAGGTCGTTGCAGTTTAGTATATTGCGCCGTCCATTCTTTCCCTTTTGGGGGATAGAGTTTCTTCCCGTTGCAAACTGGGGGAGGGCGATATGGGTCCGGGCAGGCCATTTGGGTCTGTTTTGTTTTTTTTCCCCTCTTCTACTGCATCTTCCCAGAAATACAGT